GGGGTCTGACTTCACTCAAGTCGCTTGCTGTCCACTACAGGTACCCCTGGGATGGTCTGCAGTGCAATCTGTATTCCTGGCTCAGTTATCTGCAACAGCTGGAATCACTCTCAATCATTGGTGAGCCAAAACATGCATTTAATCTTTGTATTGTGTGTGTATAGTGAAGCTGTGTGAAGCTCCAGGCCAAAACTGTTTTCTGTAACTTCTGTCCTGTCATTTCTTTCCTTATAGGAGGGAATTTTGCCTCTTATACGGAAGACCTTTCAACCCAGGTGACCAGTCTGACACTGCGAACATCCATATGCGCATGCCAGATGAGTGCCATTGCATCTCATCTCAAGCAAGTTGAGCATCTGGACATAAATCATAACCGCTCTGAGGATAGTCTCTGCAAAAAGCTTCCTACACTGTTTCCTCAACTCAAGACTCTCAGGATACGGTATGCCCAGCAGATTTTTATTTTTATTACTATTACAAAGTAAAAGTTCCATTTGATGGTTTATGTGTGACCTGCAGCATCAAATCATCTCACTTGAGAAACTGACATCATTTACATTTTGCTGCAAATGAAGCTTTTTTCTGTCTTGATTTCTTAAGTACAACTGAAGCACTACAGAAAATCTTCTCAACAATTTCCCATTATGGGTCTATCGTTGCCAACACGCAACTAGAGCTGACTTTTTTTCCTGTCTTGTCTTCTGTAGCTTCTACCTTGAGGAACCAACAAGAGACCTGCTGTTCCTCAACAAGCTGCAACACCTGGAGCGACTGGAGCTGATCAAGAGACAGACATACATGCTTATAAGTGACAAAAACAAAACTTGGCCGAGTCCATCTTTGGAGGAACTGATCAAGGAGCTGCGGGAGATCTCCAGGAATAGGTTCAGCATCCTGACCACAATGCCCGAAAGGGACGTCTTGCAAGAATGCGACTGCATTTGGGAAAGAACTGAAACAGCAAAGTGAACAATTTTCTCCTCCATGGACTTTCATGTAGATGCAGCAGGTCCTGTAATGCGTGCAACACTACCTTTAAAATAAATGAAGGTCAGAGCAAGAAGCTGCAGCTTTTTTGCTGCAGAGAACTTTAGACATAGTTAGAATGATGTGATGAAATATTCTGTTGGGTTTTTTTTTTTTATAGGTTTGGTTCAACAATGTTACGATGAGAAATTCTCTGGTTCTTTATGATTGTTTGAGTGTTTATGATGTTTTTGTTTTTTTCTATCAAATAAAATCTAGTTTTCATAAAGAACTGCATTATTGTTTTTCTGTGAATTTAGTTTATTATTTCAGCTTATTACAGCTTTCAAATCAAAATACAAACCTCCAAGTTATTGTATAGAAAGCCCCCCTCCTCAGAAGGACATTATCAGTGTCACGCTCATGTCTAGCTGTAGAAATTCAGTTCAGTTCAATTTTTTTTTTCAGCAAAAAAGACAGTAATACAGAGAAACCCAATCACAACGACCCTGTCATGTTCCAGGTGAGGAAGGAT